GGAGGAGGGAGGCGCAGAGCGGGAGGGAGGGAGGGAACCCCAGGGGTCATCTAGTGACGGCGCCCCAATCGAAAATTTGACTTTAAAAAAAAAATCTTTCAATTTTTAAATTTTTCCCGCGGCACACCAGGCAACATCTCGCGGCACACTAGTGTGCCGCGGAACAGTGGTTGGGAAACACTGCTTTAGTGGCCCATGCTGTAATTAGGGCATAGTAAGAAACCACCCTGGAGGTGGATATATCAAATGCATTGTTACTAATTCTGCTTTAATTCTGTTTGAAAGGTACTTTCACACAAGTCTGCTTAAAATCAGAGAGATAACCGAGATTTGCCAGTGAATTAAAGCACATTCATTTCAAAGTTGCTACATTTTTATTAGTGTTACAACGGACTTTTATTAAGGAAAGGCTATTAATTGTGTTATAACTGTCTTAATGTATTCAAATTTACCTATCCCCTAGTTTTCTTTTTATCATTTTCTTGGTCTTTTGTAATAGCTAAAAAACTAAACTGAATAGTTTATTAATTTCAAAGATATTTAGATGTGAGTAACTTGCTTTGGATCCCATCATTTGCATCTCATATACAAAACTTAAGTCTGAGATTCAATGTCCAGTATATGTGTGTGTACAAATACTCCTTAGGAACTTGTAAAATTGCTTTGGGCTGAATTAACCTAAGGCACTTTCCTCTATGAATTGGCCGCTCTACACACTCTTAATCTATGTTGGGTAGTTTCATGATACTTACCCACAAGAGGTATGGTTTTAGACAGCTTGATATATGAAGGAATTGGTACTGAGGACGTTTAAGAAGAGAATTTAACACTTGGGGGGGGGGAGAGATGGTTAATTTGGTTGGACATGACACAACCAAAGTTAGGCGCTTGTTAAAGTCCCATTGATTTCACTGGGAGTTATTTAAGCATATGCTTAACTTTTTTTTAAAGTACTTAATTTAATGTGGATTGTGCACCCACCCAATGCATGAGAATGGTTTTACACAGGATCAACAATCTCCCCCTTCAGATATCTCTAGCAATTTCTCAAAGCACTACCCTGAACATGCATTTTCCACACTAATCCTGTCTAATAGCCACTGACTGGCATTTTCTCCAAAGACAAAGAGTTAAGACTTTGGTGAGGTAGGTTTCAGTAACATATTTCCTAAGATGGAATGAATAACCTAGCTATAAGAAGTGAATGTTTCAGGAAACATTGCTGTAGTATTCAAAAAGATTGCCACTATATTCTGCTATAGGCCTGTGTGCTACATGCTCCGGAAGATTATGTACCTTAGCTCTGTTAAGTTTCCATCCACCCAGCTTTATTTCATGCTACAACAGAGTTGGTATGTTTGGTTGTACAGGGCACCCTCCTGTGGTAGCCGCTGGCATGGCACAAAGTTTGGATATGGAGAAAAATGTAATATAATACTGAGAGCACAAAGGGAGAATGGACTCATGGAAGGCAAATGCCTGATCCAGTTCTACTCATGCACAGATAGCTGTGTGGGAATATCTGCACTAAAAGACAGATGAGGACACAATATTTTTAGCTTACATATCTTTGAAAGCATCAGGAGTTTCTTTCTATCTAGAGAGTTGCACATTGTCCTAATAGGCAGAATTATAATTCAAGAGAAGGATTTTACAATGCTATCATTATAACTTGCCACTGTCTCTTGAGACAAACAGGTGCCAACAACACTAACTGCTGAGAGGGAGTGCATATGCAGGTGTAAGTTGGCCCGAGGTATAGCTATACAGTGGTACCTCGTGTTACAGACGCTTCAGGTTACAGACTCCGCTAACCCAGAAATAGGACCTTGGGTTAAGAACTTTGCTTCAGGATGAGAACAGAAACGTGGTCGGCAGAGGGAGGCCCCATTAGCTAAAGTGGTACCTCTGGTTAAGAACAGTTTCAGATTAAGAACAGACCTCCAGAAGGAATTAGGTTCTTAACCAGAGGTACCACTGTATACTGTATTACAGTAATTCTGATTTCCTTGTAAACTAATTTACAATCTTTTTCGATCAAAAAAATTATAAAGAAATACTTGAAATATAAATAAATTAGAAGGGGGTTTCCTGTTAGGCCCTCAAGAAGCCCAAAGGCTAAGAGAATCTACAGCACTAAACAGGCACATGACATTAGCTGAGGAAAGATGACTGAATCCTTGTCTGTTATATTGACCCAACATTACAATTTAGCTGCGCTGCTTCTTCATTTTTTGCAGGGGGGTGGGGAGATTACTGTAGGGAACAGTTCATTAACAATGCTGACCCTAGACTTTTGAGACCATTGGGCACGGCACCCTCAATCTGTAGGGTTGGAAGGGACCATGAGGGTCATCTAGTCCAACCGCTTACCATGTAGGAATCTTTTGCCCAGCATGTGACTCTAACTCAGAACCTTGAGATAAAGCGTCTCAAGCTCTACCAACTGAGCTACTCTCCCTAACAAAGATATGGGATATGCAAACTGAGAATTCTATCAGGCTCCAACTGATCTTCGATACTCAGTGCAAAGTGGAAATGGTGGCTGTTACAGCAATGAACCTTCTGCTGGTCTTGGGGGCCTGGGCAAATGTCCATTGTAGCCACCTTCAAGAGCAGCTTATCTGTGAATGGCTATAAAGTACAGTTATAGTGGAATTCTCTCTCTCATGTTTGCTTTTCGAAAATGTGATTTTAAGAACCAGCCCATGTCAAACACTATCTTTTAGCTTCTTGTATGTTATGTGTGGGTACCTGGACATGTTATTTACTCTTACTGCTTATGTTTGCACTCTGTCCTTCTTGCCACAGAACTCAAGAGCAACTTATATACGGTTTCTAGGATAAGATCAGTTTTGCAGAATGCAGGGCCAGAAATTGCCCTGCTTGGCTTCAGCAGTAGAACTGCATCAAGGGCCTTTGTATCATTATTGTGAATAGAAAGTGGAAGTGTCTTATTTTGAAATCAGATGTGCATGTCAGCCAATGCAGACTTTACACCCACATTACAGGTGTGGGAAAAGCAAACAGTTTTTTGTGTCATAGTGAAAATGCCTTTATTTTGCAACAGAGCAAGGAAGCACCAGAAAAGCCACTTAACACTTTGTTCACATTGATTTCAAATGACCTTGTTCCAATATGTACATTTCAAAACTGTGTTCTTCTATCTGTTAAGGACACAAACTATTTATGGGGTGTTTTTTTTAGATATGGTGCCCTACATTCTGGGTTATATTGCTTCTTGTATCACGGCCTGAATTTAGACATTGTATCTATTTTTACCCTTCCAAAATATAACAATATTTCCTGAAGAGTCATTGTCTGGTTATATTCTAGCCAGGAAGAATTCTGAAAACATCCTTCTTCTTAACTTTTATTATAACCAGGCTGTTCTTTCCAACATACTCCAAATTGGGGTAATATTGTAAAACTATTTTCAGGTGGTTTATATTAAGCAATAATATTTGTTCCAAGGGATGCGGGTGGTGTTGTGGGTTAAACCACAGAGCCTAGGACTTGCCGATCAGAAGATCAGTGGTTCAAATCCCCGTGACAGGGTGAGCTCCCATTGCTCGGTCCCTGCTCCTGCCCACCTAGGAGTTCAAAAGCATGTCAAAGTGCAAGTAGATAAATAGGTACTGCTCTGGCGGGAAGGTAAACGGTGTTTCCGTGCGCTGCTCTGGTTCGCCAGAAGTGGCTTAGTCATGCTGGCCACATGACCCAGAAGCTGTATGCCGGCTCCCTTGGCCAATAAAGCGAGATGAGTGCTGCAACCCCAGAGTCAGTCACGACTGGACCTAGTGGTCAGGGGTCCCTTTACCTTTTTAATATTTGTTCCAACTCTCATCTTAACAGGGGCAGTTTTGTCTTATCTTAAATATACTGCAGTTTTGTAGACTGAAAATCACCAACTGAGGAACAGGCATAGAAACGGTATGCATAGAACTAGTGTAGGGAACCTTAGACCCACCTGATGTTGCTGGACTACACAACTCCCATAATCTCTACCTAGCATGGCCAATAGCCAGGGATAATGGGAGTTGTACTTCAGCAACATCTGGAGGGCCAAAGGCTCTACACACCTGGTATTTTTAAAATGCCTTATTTCATGTTTGTTTACATATTGGTTTTACTGCAACATGCTCACATCTTTCTTCCAACTAGTCCATATGTGTGCTTAGGAAAACAACTTGTGCTGAATTTAACTCCCACCTCCCCCTTAGCCAGGCATCTACGGACATCAAGTCTTCCTGGGACGGCTTTTGACAGAAGGAATCTAAATGAGAAGTGCTAGCAGAACTCCCTTTGCGCTTTGTCCTAATTGTTTTCATACTATCTTGCTCTGCTTTAAAGCAAAATCGTTCACAGAGTAACTTGTATAAACACACTCCGAATGTAAATATACACTTAAAAGACTTAATTCCCACTTACCGTCTGATGATATACTTTGGTTTTCTAGCCCCCCACTTTCTTTCAGTGTGTCTTGTGTCATTGGCTCCTCTGTTCTCCACTATAATGTTCAGAGCTTATCTGCTATTTGTTCTTAAATTCAGTGCTGCCTTGACCGCACACAGTATGTTACATTATAGTAGGAGACTTAATACCAAGATGAAGCTCTTTTGAACTGTGTTAAAACTTTTCAAGTACACGCAGTTGATCTGGATTGTTTTAATTTCTGTGGGGGAAAGCGTTCCAACACGGCTCATGCATGAGTGTAAAGGACTTCTGCAACTGGACCCTTATCTCCTACAGCACCATCTCCGCAGATACTCCAGAACAGATTTTTTGGAGGTGTAGGTGGATGGAGACTAAGATTATGCCACCTTGTACAATACTGAATTTCACCCAACATTTTTTGAAAAGGCCATTTCTCCCCTTAGAAGATTATAGTTCAATATCTCAAATATCTCACAACATTCTTGTTTGTATCAGTCTGAAGGTGAGGCAGGGGAGCTGTCATTGGTTAAGAAAACAAAAAACAAAAAAGCAGCTGGTGAGGATGAGGTAGTAACATTTTAGGGCAAGGTACAGTACTGGAAAAGGAAGTAGGAAGGTTCAGGACATATTTAGGTAGATGGTTTGAAAGCATTGGTATTTACGTAGTACCTGCAATTTACACTTATTTTCCTTACGCAATCACAGCTTTAGGCAGTTTATTATGCATATATGAATAGAAAGGGACTCTTACTTACTGGGCTCTGGAAGCCCTTGTAAGATTTTGCAGGGCCATCCAAAGGCTTTTCCTTTGCAGAAACAGCTTTTCAAGCTCTGCACCTTGCTTACAGGGTCCTGGGAATGTTGCACAAAGCCTCTGGTAGGCTGCAGAGAAATCTTGGATGGCAGAGGCTGCTCCTCGGATTGTTCTGATTTCGTGCTATTTTTTGCATATGGACCCCTAGAACCTCAGTGTACATTATACAGCGGAACCGTACAGCAGAACTGTTTTCATACCCACCCATAACAGTGCACAGAAAAAGGTCTACTTGCCCTTTCAGTCCAATTAGGTATCATAATCCCATGGCGCTATTGATGTAAAATGTAACCTATGCCACCACGGGCTCTTGCTGGTCTTGTTGGCCAAGTGCATCAAATGTTATTTCCTTCTCAATGTAAACTCACAGTTCTTAAAAGCCACTGCAGAATGCAATTCTTCAGAGCAGGGTAGGGATCCTGTGCCCCCCCCCCACACCTAGGTGTTATCTGGCTACGACCCCATTACTGAAAATGCTGGCTGGGGCTGATGGAAGGGCCAGAGGTTCCTTACCCCTGCTTCGAGGTACATAGATATGAAGGCGGAGCAGATACTGGTAGAGCAAATGTGCAAAAGAGGTGATTTGATGCTGGAGGATGGCAGGCGGCACAAGCTTCAGTTTACAAACTAACTACATCTGGTCACCAGAGTTTCTTTTAAGCATACTAGCCAGTCCCTGTGATGAAGCCCACAAAGGTTTGTGCCATACACTCTTGGGAAGAGAATATCACAAAGACCTGGTCTCTTACCAGCTGAAATTACCTTCCAGGCTGCTTAAAGGTAAAGTAGAGTAATTTCCTTTCCCGTTCCTCTTAACTCTCTGAACTGCAAACCGCCCTTTGCATCAAATGAGAACTTGACATTGAAGGGATGTCCTGAAACACTCTTTGATAGTACTGAACAATTATGTGGTTAATGTATTCAAAGAAACAGAAGTGATTCCCTCCATTATTTTATAATACAGTTATGCCTATCCCCACCGCTGCACCCCTTCTGCAAAAGGCCTTTGAGTCACTTTTTGTAGCTTTGCACAAGCACGCTAGGTGACAGCACACCACTTTGCACTTGTGTCCGCGTCTCAGGCTTGTGCTTTAAAGCGAATACGAGGGCTCGCACAGTCCTGCGGTAGGGCGCGCTAATGAGACGGGATGAGAGATGAAAAGCTTCTCGCTCAATATTTTCCGCCAGCGGGTGACCAATCTGAAAACAGAAAGTAAGAAATGAGATCCTTACATTTAATAAGGAGACTAACTGTTTGAAATTGGAGGCTGGTTTCTTAATCAGCTCAAATTCAAGGAAATCCACTTCACATCACAAGTAAAACAGGAAGAGCAATTTAATTTCACTCCAGCAATTAAAGAACAAGGCAGTGTGGTCAGTCGCTTTCTTTGCCAGCCCAACAGGAAACTAATCTGCAGCCAACCTGGGGTATCAGGTTCAAGTGCAATTACTAACAGGGTAATACTGCCTCCGATAACATTCAGTGATACAAGACACTTTTGATAGCATTTCAAACTCAACTCCAAAACCAAAACCTGGATGTTCTAAATACTTGGCAGGGCCGACTGGCAGGGCTGTAAAGGGAAATGCAGACTCTGTGAGCAAGTGTAAGGAGGTGTAATTAAGAAAACAGAAAGGGATTTGCTAAATGTTAATTATGAAGTTATTGCTTCAACATGTGCCAAGCTATGTAATTTGGCACAGCTGAGACATCTAAATAAATTATATAGAAATAAATGAAAAGCAACTATTGCCTACCAAGAAAGGGTTTATTTCTCTTTTGGCCATTAGTGCCGAGGAATTCTGTATTTGGGGAGAATCCAGAATGTTCAATTGTTACTATCTTCAGGCTTATTTTCACCTCTGCTGTGGTATAACCACTTCCCACTCTTTGCTGAATCTTATATCTAAATTTTAGTACTCTGCTGAAATCACTGACCCTCCTCCTCATCCATAAGATTACTGATCTTTGCAGGGTTGTGGATCTAAAACACACTATCCAAAGCTCACTGCTCCAATTATTTTGAATAGCTTCTAATTCTAACTCTTGCCTCTCATATTTTGCTCACAGCTCACCTCTGGTGGTTCATGAAAATGCATATGGCACTTCTTTGTGTTAGTAACAATGGCTCTTGTGGGAAAGATTCAAATAGTAGGACAGGGAGTTTTGATTATACTGGTGAATACACAGAACAGGACCTTCTCAGCGGTGGCTTCCCCGTTCTTGCAATTAGATTCCACGTGAGATAAGGCTAGCCCCATCGCTTGTTAACTTTAAATTGGCCTTAAAAACTTACTTTTAAAAACATGGCCTCTGGAGGCCATTTTTGTTTTACTGTATGTTGGCTAGTGTACATTGCATCGTACTGGATATTTAAGTGCTTAATGATTTTATTTTTGGATTTGCATTGCATACAGTTCTAAACTGCTTTGAGAAGCATTTTAGCCTGAAAAGCGGTCTAAAAGTCTAATAACTACATTTACTAGCCCTTGGGTTCCAATTAGAAAAGAATGGCATCGGCTGCCAATTAGCTTCCGGGCTAAGTGTGAGGTGCTGGTTCTAGTGTACAAAGTCCTATACAGCTTGGGATCAGGATACAATAGTCTCAACCCTTTATATATTCTACTGATCATTATGTCCTTCAGGAGAAGGCCTGTCCCCTTACTATATAGGAATCAGGCCTTTATTGTGGCAGCTCCTACTTACTGGAATCCTGCCCCGCTCCTACACCCCAGCAATTAAATACTGGACAGGCTCCATCTCCATTGTTTTATTATTTATTTAATAAATTAAAAGAATGATCTTATGCTTTGCCAGGGATCATAATGATTTAATCCAACACTGATGGGGGATGGCCAGAAGGGGTTCAACAGAAGAAGATACTCTGTGTTTTAAACTATTACCACCCTGGCCTTTGAAGTTCTCAGCATGAGTGGGGATGTCACATTCCCTCCCCCCCCCCAAAAAAAATAGGCTCCTTTGCCCAACAGCCAACTTGCTAGTAGGCAGAAGCAAGTTCAGCAAGTATATTATTCCCCAACACTGTGGTGTCAAAATTAGATGTTTATGGCATTAAAGACTGGAATTCACCCAATTTGTAATTGGAAAAGACTGCAAATAGTTTGCATTATATATGAATCTTATATAGTGGTACCTCGGGTTACATACGCTTCAGGTTACATAAGCTTCAGGTTACACACTCCGCTAACCCAGAAATAGTGCTTCAGGTTAAAAACTTAGCTTCAGGATAAGAACAGAAATCGGGCTCCGGCCGCACGGCGGCAGCAGGAGGCCCCATTAGCTAAAGTGGTGCTTCAGGTTAAGAACAGCTTCAGGTTAAGAATGGACATCCGGAACAAATTAAGTACTTAACCCGAGGTACCACTGTATTAGATAAGCATTTCCCATGAAGAACAGTTAAGATGCTATCTTGCACACCTAGTTTCCCCATTTGTACATTGCAGCAAAAGGCAATTTACCAGCCCTTCAGCAGCAATGAATTTCAGAGTGACCCACACTCAATTAAAAATAAAAAAATATATATAATAATGATTAAAACTGAAATGATTGGTTAGCAGATGGATGCTATAAAGACAGCTTGTTTCACAATTAGGCAGATGTAGGCAGTCACTAAGAGTAGTAGGGAGATAGTAGGGGTCGTTATTATTTCAACTGTCTGCTTGCTATGGCACCGAGGGGTTGCTAGGTTGTTGTTTTTCCCCTCCTAATCTTGCTTTGCATTGGTTAAAAAAGATTCTCATTCAGCAGCTATCTTAACATCTGCACAAATACAAGGTGAAGGAGAGTGACAGCAGTGACCAGCCAGATGCAACAAGAGTAACGGATGGAAAAAGAAGGTAGAGGCAGCATATCAGTCAGGTGCGGGGAAGCTCTGGCTCTCCAGATGTTGATGAACTACAACTCCCATCATCCTTGGCCATGCTTGCTAGAGCTGGTGCGAAATTTAGTTCAGCAACATCTGGCAGGCAAAAGGCTCTTGGTACCCAATATATATGTTTGCACGAGGTGGAAATAAAAGAGCCCTGAACATGCAGACCCAGCCTTTTGGCAAAAGTGGAGAAGCACATATATGAATAGTAATGAGCCAGGAAAACAATCCCAATTAAAACTGGCTTCTGGCTACTGACTGCTCCAGATCAGCAACATCAAGCATGTATCTGAAGAGTTACATACATGGCAGAGTTGAAGCTGAGCGCTCCAGCTTCAGGACCCAACATTAGCTCCTTAGCAGAAACGGTGCATGATTTTCTGACCAGAGTTGACAAGGACTGTAAACACTGCTTCTAAATTTTGCACGGCAATTCCTGAGGGCCTTGACGTGCCATTTAAAGGATAATTAATGAATACATTAAAAGGATAATTATTATGGAGTTTAATATAGCAGGCAAACTGATCATTAAGGCTTAGAGAGAATTCTTGTTGTGTTCATTACTTAAGAATACCACAGGGATCTGATATTTACCACCACTTTGTACACTATTGACCCTCTCTGTAGGTTCTCACAATAAACTTTGATTTACAAACACTTAATTACGGATATAAAGTTTGCCTGAAATACAGAGCATCCAAAGGGCTTTAGCACAGACTTAGTGCATTAAAATATTGTGTGATCTCCAGTGTTGCACAAGCAGGCTTTTGCTCACACTATAGGACTTTGCTTCCCCCCGCCATGCAGCTCATTGATGACCCCCAAAATTTGCTCCAGAGTGCCAATCCATGGGAACTGAAGGGGGGGGAGGAGGAGGAGAAGGGGAAGCCAGTTCTGCTGCTGTGCTAATACCATGCGGTATCGTCCATTGAGATTAACAATCCATTTCCATGCTTTCCTTTCTTTGAATTATTAGGATGATGTGTACATGCTGGCTATGCAAAAGCAAATGTTTTTTCTACTCCTCCTACCCGTCAGTTACGAGTCCAGGGTCATGTAGAGTCCATGGTCTTCTAACACATGACTCTGCTCAACTTTATAATCATAGTAAGATTATAGTAGTATATTATGTTTATATAATCATATTAAGATTTCCTAGTTCCACCCCATACCTTCTGAAGTTAGGCAGGTAACAACTAGGGAGGGAGCTTTCTCAGTTGTAGTGCCCATACACAGAATGTCCCTCCCAGGTGCCAAATCTGTTGTCTTTTCCAGCACCAAGTAAAGAGCTTTTCATTTGCCCAGGCCGTTCTGCAGGCCACGGAACTGAATTCCAACTGAAAATGTTTTCTAATTCTGCTGCTTCTATCATTCTGCACACTTTTCTCATTTCTGCTGATTTTATACTATGCCTTATCTTATTTGATATTGTTCATAGGACCTTTGAGAGCTACTCTCAAGCTTTGCAAATTTGGGAAGGATGTCAATATTTTAAATAAGTTATTGTTGTTGCAGATCCTGTACACGAGCTTTTTTCTATACCCTCCTCATTACAAAGAATATATTTGGGGGGAAAGGACAGTGAAAATTCCTAACAATAGGTTTCAATCTTAGGATCAGACGATACTTTTGCAGAAAGGTTTTCTCATTCTACAAGGTCAAAAGATGAATTTCCATGTAATTTCTCACAATGCTGCAAAAACATTTTTTTTATTTTTCTGATTTATTTAACTATTGCTCTCTTCCTTCCCCGCTGACTGAAGAGGTGAAAACAGATGGAACATTTTTAGAGCACTGGGGATGGGTTGGAAACACACCCACTGCATTCAATATAAAATATACATTAGTTTTTAGTTCTAGGAAGAAAGATCCTGCTCTGTAAATTGAGGGTGTCTCAGTTTCATTGAGAAAAAGCCAGCTATAGATAGTGCTGACAGGATATTGCCTATGATGCTAATCAGCACACATAATCCCTGACGCAGCTTTGAAACTTAAAAAAATTCAGGGGGGAAACATATAAGTGAACACGCTTACATATAGGGCTTAAAACCTTTTTTAAAAATCAGATAGTCTTGCTGGCACATGACATGCTATACAATTCTATGCAGCAGAATTCCCGCATCAGCAAGGGGTTGGACTAGATGACCTTTGGAGTGCTTTCCATCACCAGGATTCTCTGAGAAGAGCAAGAAATCTACTGAATAGACTCATGGAGAGAATAATAATATTTCAGCAGGCTGCCTGCCTTTAATACCCAGCCATTTGATGACTGAAGGACACTGTTCCTGACAACCCTGAAATCACTGGATGTGATTATGTTTTAACTGTTTCAGAACATTTTGTTTTGTTTTGTTTTGCTGTTGCAACTTGGGCTCCTTTGGGAGGAAGAGGCAAGGTGTAAATATAATAACATAATGTTACATAAATAATAGTTAAATCACTATAGGCAAGGTTATACATTGTTCCCCTTATTTTAAAAAGTAAGTTGCAAATCATTCAGTTTGTTGTTATGTGTACAACATGCAAATTATAAATACAGACTCATATCCAATATAAAGTTCAACTAGAATTTAAACCTTATGCCTCTCGTCACTAAGATCAGCACTTTTCTGTTTTGAATGCCTGGCATCTGCCCTAAATCCGTAACAGAACCACCCCAACTTTGTAAAGAAAAATGCTTCTCATTCAAAGCCATTTTCAGAAAATGAGTAATAAAAGACACAGTACCTCCAGCTCTAGAGCTTCAGCCAGTAGCTTCCGTGCATTCTGCCTAAGCTTCTCTGTCCTGGGATTACTCCTCACTTCTATTGAGGGTCTATCTGAATGGTCTTTGATGAATGTTCGCCACTCAGTATACACTTCTTTGGCAAGAGCGGCCACATCCTGATCTGAATGCTTGCGCATCTTGTTCACTGTATGACCTTGCAGAAGATGAAAGCAACACAAAGTCTTAGCACACATTAATACATACTAGCATGAATGAAACTTCTAAAAACTGAGGGCAAGCTTGGAAGCACCTGGAATCAGTAACATGGGTGAAAAAGACTTGCCATGAGATGGACTGACATTTGGCTGCTTTGCCAGCAGTTTCCAGGCCAGTGTTACTTCCACCAAAGCCCGCTATAAGCCCAGAGATTTAGCACAGCAGTTATGACAGCTGGAACATCTGTATACATCTTCACTTCTCTATACGAGTTCTTGACTAATTCATTGTATTTAAATATATTTAAAGCTGCCTTGGTAACTTTGGTTATTGTTAGAGGTATAATGACCAACTAAGACAGCTAACATAAGATCAGTGAGGGCAAAGAGTGGGGAAAGGTCTTTAACATGGACACTTAAAATGCCAGTCAGGTTTAAGCTCACATTATTTATATATATATATTCAACATGCCAAGCATTTTTAAAATGAGCACAACTGATAGGTCTCAGTTTATTCAAATGAACCACATACATATTTCCAATGGAAACTTAAAAAAAGAATGTTACCTATTTTTGTTGAAAGTAAAACTTCTTTGGAGGGTATTTTCTTCTTTAATTCCATTAAGGCTTCAATTAGATTCTCCTTAGACTGAACTGAAAGCTCTAGCATAGATTTCCATCTTTTTATATCTTCTATAACCACAACTCTCTGCAAAGAACAATCATCATTAGGAGACAGAAAGAGGCACACATAACTTATTTCAGATAAATGTACTGTATTCTGTGTCAGCTAATATGATTGCTATTGACTTATGAATTATTAAATATGACAGGTAGACTAAGTGCAGGAAACCTAGGTAATCCAAACAGACGAATACTTGTTTCACAGTAAGTCCCTGATGTGAAGCAAATGAGAGAAATCTAGAAAGCAAAATAAACTCATTAGACTGCCATCTTCAATCCACTTACTATTCTGAAGTGAGTGTTTTAAGCAGGGTTTTTTAAAACAAAACAAAACAAAACATGAAAACGCCTCATTGTATTGTCAACTACCAGCTCTTATTTTTCATCTCATCCCAATGTAAGGTCATTCCTTCACTTACCAAATATTTTTTTCTTTTTTTATATATATATAATTTTTTATTAGAGGTTTTTCTTATGGTTACAAAGATAAAACAAAACATGACAATACATTAAAACATAACAAACAAATAATAACAAGTATACTTTCAAATCTTATTTTCTTAAACCTTACTTCCCTGACTTCCTCGTGCTTCCCCTTTCTGTGTTCCAATTTCTAATCAATTACTCAGCAAATCTTCTCGTATTTTAACTTAATTTACTCATTTTTCTCCTTGTCTTAACCATTACCGCTATCAACCATTTATTTCACTAATCCGTCATCCTTCTAAACTTCATAAATTTTACAATATTTCTTTAAATAGTCCTTAAATTTTCTCCACTCCTCCTCCGCTGCTTCTCTTCCCTGGTTTCGGATTCTGCTCGTCATCTCTGCCAGGCCCATGTAGTCAATCACCTTCATCTGCCATTCTTCCAAGGTGGGTAGATCTTGTGTCTTCCAGTACTTAGCGATGAGTATTCTTGCTGCTGTTGTAGCGTACATAAAAAAAGTTCTATCCTTCTTTAACACCCCCTGGCCGACTATGCCCAAGAGAAAGGCCTCTGGTTTCTTTGGAAAGGTATATTTAAATACCTTTTTCAGTTCATTATATATCATTTCCCAGAATGCCTTAATCTTCGGGCACGTCCACCAGAGATGAAAGAACGTACCTTCATTCTCTTTACATTTCCAACATTTATTGTCAGGCAAATGGTAAATCTTTGCAAGCTTGACTGGGGTCATGTACCACCTATAGATCATTTTCATAATATTTTCTCTTAGGGCGTTACACGCCGTGAACTTCATCCCGGTGGTCCACAACTTTTCCCAGTCAGCAAACATAATGTTATGCCCTATGTCCTGAGCCCATTTAATCATACTTGATTTGACCGTTTCATCCTGTGTATTCCATTTCAACAGCAAGATGTACATTTTTGACAGATTTTTCTTGCTGGGTTCTAACAATTCAGTTTCTAATTTTGATTTTTCCACCTGGAAGCCAATCTTACTATCCATCTTAAAGGCCTCGTTTATTTGATGATAATGAAGCCAATCTCTCACTTTCTCTTTTAATTTCTCAAAACTCTGCAATTTCAGTTTATCCCCTTCCTTCTCCAAGATTTCCCAGTATTTTGGCCACTTAGGCTCCATGTTTAACTTTTTAACTGCCTTAGCTTCCATTGGTGACAACCACCTTGGGGTTTTGTTTTCCAACAAATCTTTATATCTGGTCCATACATTAAATAGTGCTTTTCTGACAATATGGTTTTTAAATCCTTTATGCGCTTTGACCTTGTCGTACCATAAATATGCATGCCACCCAAACGTATTATTGAAACCTTCCAAATCCAAGACATCTGTATTCTCAAGAAGTAGCCAATCCCTTAGCCAGCAAAACGCTGCCGCTTCATAGTAAAGTTTAAAGTCTGGCAGGGCAAGTCCCCCCCTTTCCTTTGCATCTGTTAAGATCTTAAATTTTATTCTGGGCTTCTTGCCCTGCCAGACAAATTTAGATATATCTTTCTGCCACTTCTTAAAACAGTCCATCTTGTCTAGTATTTGCAATGCCTGGAACAAAAACAACATTCTTGGCAATACATTCATTTTTATAACTGCAATTCGACCCAACAAGGAAAGCTTCAAATTTGACCAAGTCTCTAGATCTCTTTTTACTTCTGTCCAAATTTTTTCATAATTGTCCTTAAATAAGTTCACATTCTTCGTTGTCATATTTATCCCCAAATACTTCACTTTCTTAACCACAGTTAACCCTGTCACATTCTGAAACCTTTCTTTTTCAAACAATGTCATATTTTTCCCCAATACCTTAGTTTTTAACTTATTCAATTTAAATCCCGCCAGTTGACCAAACTCTTGAATTAATTCCAAAACCCTTTTCGTACTAGCTTCTGGCTCCTGCAGTGTAAGTACCAAGTCATCTGCAAATGCTCTCAATTTATATTGTTTTGCTCCGACCTGAATCCCTTTAACCAACAGGTCTCCTCTGATCATATTTAGCAGAACCTCCAGGACTGAAATAAAAAGTAATGGAGAGATTGGGCACCCCTGACGTGTCCCTTTTTCTATCTTGAACTCTTCTGTAACAACGTTATTTACAATTAGTTTTGCTTTCTGCTCCGAGTATATGGCACCTATACCATTTTCAAACCCTTGGCCTACCCCCATCCCCCGGAGGTTCTTCATCATAAAACTCCAAGAAATATTGTCGAAGGCTTTCTCAGCGTCTACAAATATCAACACTGCTTTGGTGTTTATATTCACCTCCAACTTTTCTAAAATGTCAATTATATTCCTTACATTATTCGACAAATGTCTTTTTGGGAGAAAGCCTGCTTGGTCCCCATGAATCTCCTCCATCAACACTCTTTTCAATCTCTTTGCTAAAATGTCCGCAAAAATTTTGTAATCCACATTCAATAATGAGATGGGACGGTAGTTCTTAAGTTGGTTCTTTTCAGTCTCTGTCTTTGGTATAAGTGTGATATAAGCCTCTCTCCACGTATCAGGTGCCTTTTTCCCTTCCATGATTTCATTACAAACTTCCTTCAGAGGTTTTATTAAGCATTCCTTCAAAACTTTATAATACTTGGAAGTCAATCCGTCCGGTCCTGGAGATTTGCCCAGCGTCATATTTTGAATGGCATCTTCTATTTCTTGTTCCGATATATCCTGATTCAACATTCTCTTACTTTCCTGAGAGATCTTTTTCAGTCCATTTTTCTCAAGGAATTGCTCTATTTCCACTTACCAAATATTTTTTTCAAGCCACAGCCCATCATACAAATTTTTCATTCCAAATCTCAGTAGGCCAAACCCCTCAAGCAAATATAACGCCCCCCTCCTGACTTGGTCCACTGTAAGCTAACTTTTTAATTCACTGATGCAGTGCTTTTTATTGTCAGTCTTTACATGGACTTCTTGCAGTTTCTTCACCACTTTGGACCCACTCCTTCTACCAGGGGAGGGGAACCTGTGGCCCTCTAGCACCTGCTGGACCCTTAACTCCCATCAGCCCCAGACAGCATGGCCAATAATCAAAAGATGATAGAGGCTGTAGTCCAGCTCATCAAAGTAAAGTGCATCATCAAAGCAGTTTCACTGAAGCTTTTGACTACCGCATTAGGACCTTTCTAGCAGGAACGGTTTGTAAACTGCATGCACAGTGTCAGATCCATCCCCACAGCACCCTCAAGCCTCTCCTGAAGGTGGTGGTGGTGGACCCTGCTGCATGTGGTGAGTTAAGGCATATAAGGCTAAAGGGAAAAGGGGAAGAAAGGGCAGGGAAGTCATCTTGCACCCAACCACTTCTGCCCACATTTCTCTGGATCCAACCCATACTATAAAAAATGTGTTTCTGACTACTAGGGAACCTTAATAGTTCACTGTGCAACATGTTCATTAATGATTTTGTTCCAACGACTGTGAAGGGACTAACCACACCCACCCAGACCCAAGTACATATTGCCCTATAGGATTTTGTACCTACCTATCTCTCAAAATAACTTCTGCTTTGCTAGTACTTTTTTATTTCATATACTGCCCTTCATCTGAAGATCACAAGGTGGTTCACAACATCAAGAAATGAAAGGAGAACACAAAATACAAAATAAAACAAAAACAAACCAATAACCCTCCTCCTTTGCTTGACTAAGTTTCACCTTCCCTATTTGTACGCTCAGAAACACTGTCAATCTATCTGAAACAAAAGGACAGCCATAACATATTACAGTAGACATTTAATGAAATTAGAATAATTTGGGCATATCCAATATCTTACCTTCAGAGATTCTATAGTAGCTTGCTTGTAAATCTTTTCTCCGGGATCTTTCTCCTTAGGGTGTCCTTCAGTTCTGGGTTTTCGTATAACAAACTTATCCATAACACAGTCCTTAAAGAGACAGAAGTCACTGAATGGAGCAAAAAGACAATTCTGTTTCAAAAGCCGGGGGTGTGCACGTGTGCGCACGCACTGTACAATTATCTTCTTCAGTAGAACATCTGGGGTTGATACAGAACTTGCAGCTATAACACAGCACAGTGCCCATTAATATGAAGAAAATGGTGATAGCAGGAAAGGAGTGGGGGAGGAAAGAGACTTTCATACTCTAACTGGCAGCTTGGAATAAAATCACAGCATCTGAGTTAATAATGTGTAACAACAGAAGACAGAGAAGAAAATTGGGTATCAGACCACAAGTACTCAAACCTCTCAGAAGCAGCAATGGTTTGATGGAGACCAGGGGTTAATATCCTTCAAAGATGGGACTGTTTGGAGTCATGCCCTCTGTTTTGGACGTTGTTCCTCAACTATAGATTTGAGAGGGCCTCTTATTAGCACCCAGGGTAAGAGGGCGATCGGTTAGCTACTTTTCCTTCCTATATTGCAAGCCGACCAGACAATAGAGAAAGGACGAAGAACATTCACAATGCAGGCTTGATGATCAAAGCGAGTTAAAAGGCAGGCAATGCTGTGAAACCCTGAGAAACATTATGTCCGAGAAGGATGGGGGGAGAGACCACGGTCTGAAGCGCCTGAGCTCAGGGCAAGCCTCTTACATCGAAGGAATGGTGGTGAACTTGCGGTGGACTCACCTGGGAAGGAGCAGCACTCGCCCAAAATGCTTCCCGGCTGCCTATTAGCTTCCGGTATTGCAGCTCCCATCCCGCCTCCAGCCTCCCCGAACTACATTTCCCGGCAGGTCTTGCGCCGCGCTTTGTCTTAGCTCTCACGATGTCTCCTCTTCCAATCACGCGCCACTAAGTCATTTATGGAGGCAGCCTATTGTTTTTTAAGGGTGATGGCTACTCAGAAGTACGTCCTGTTGAATTTAGTGGGGCTTACTCCCATGTAAGTAGAGCTGGGATTGCAGTTTAAGTAGCACAACACCCATCACGGAGATGGAAGCTGCATGGTTCCTTAGAACTCCCCCCCCAAGGGAGAGAGAAAGAGAGAGCGCCGTTCACAGGAAACTGGGGAAATCTAGGATTTTTAGCGTAGTTGTGGTTGGACAGCGATCATGTTCATACTGTTTCTAACGTAAAGCTTCTGTCGCGTGGAAAGTGTCCTAAAATTGCTCTAAAATCATCAATTCCAAGACATCAATTCCAATTTGATTTTATTACCTCCAAACCAGAGGCAGGAAGGACCAAGACGTGTGTGGATTTGTGTTTAACGCCCCCCCCACAAATCAAGCCCTCATATTGCAGGAAGCAATGTCGGCCTCAGTTCAGTTGCCTCCTCAGAGCCGATCTCCAAGCCAAAATCCAGCGCGCTCAGCTGCATTGAGAAGCCTCGCTCCCTTGAACGTTCACGCAGAAACCTTATGGTTTCCAAGTTTTAAAATCTTTTTATCATTATTTTTAACACCCCAAATTATCGATTTCTTCATATGAAACTACTGTAAGTTGCAAATAGTACGACATCCTCTCTTGGTTGCTTTCTCCAGTGAATACACCGCGGAACAAATAATGTAGTACTAAAAACCGAGTGTATCCCCGCAACCCGCTTCTTTTATACGGGCAGCTCTCCCTTCTGCCCAGGGAGGGGGTGTGAACCGCACAAAGAAACCCGGAAGTCCGCTTCCTCCGTCCAGTCTAACCCATTTAAGTCCGCAGAGCTGTTCGGCGGGTGCCGGAAACCGGAAGCGCGAAAGGGGCGGTTAACAAAAATAAACAACCGTCTGGCTGGGGGTTGGCGATTCAAGATGGCGGCGCTGCGGCCGAGCCGTTTGGGGCTGGGGTCTCTTCTCCTCCTGCTGCTGCTCGCCGTGGGCGACGAGGCGGCCCGGCCCGAATTAGAGCCCGTTCCGGAGTCCCTCTCCGAGTCTTTCGAGCCGGCGCTGGGGAACACCGCCCCTTGCCAGCGGACGTGCCAGAGCACCTACCCGCTCCATACTTACCCCAAGGTAACAAGCGGCGGGCGGGTGGGGTGGGGGGCGCCCCACCTTCCCTACTGAAAGATTCCGCCACCCCCCAAGAACCACGTCACGATAGCAGCCAGTTAGTGGGACCTTCTCTACATTTCCCCCTTTTCATCCTGCCACCTGCATTTAAGTCCCGGGAGCTCCTGGTTTCTTAAATAAAAAAATTAGAATCTGACCCCAGAAGGGGCAGCCCCTGTGGCATCGCTGCTTATATTTAAGATCTCCCCACCACCACCCTCAGTGTAGGGATGAGACCGTGGCTTGTTCTCCTTTCGCTGTGCAGCCCTCGGGGCAACTGGCAGCCGGGGCTGCATATTCTTCCTGGCAAGGAGAGGGAATGGGAAGGAAGCCACACTCCCTGCGGCGGCTGCTGCTGCTCCTCCTTTGGCCGGTGGATGGGGCCTGACTGGTTTTGCCAGTGCTGCGATGCCCTTCCTGGGGTTGCAACCGCCAAGTGGCTATGAGAGCGCGGACCCGTGGATGGATTTCTCACCTAGTAGTCTTTGACTGCCTGAGGTGGGGCCTCGCAGCTTGGCTGGGTGCAAGTGGGAGTCTCTCTACAGTTGCTGTCCGCCAAGTTCTGTGCCATCAGCTCTCCTCCACTTTCCTCTCCTCAGCTTGTTGGGCTGGCTAGTACACAAAGGAAGTGTGCAAAAATAAATCCTTTACGTGTACCAAAATGCAAAGTGGCATGATTTATTGTTGTTACCTGTTAGCTGCATTCCGCATAGAAGTGGCCCGAAGAGACTCACAAAATGCTATCATAGGTCTCAGCTGTCACCTGCACAGCTACAGCATATCTGCAAAAGGCTGTCAACTTTAAGGAAAAGGAAAACTGCTAAGAAAAGGTATCTGGATCTGCCTTCAGATTCTGGTTTCTATGCAAGCACTTTTGTCAGCTGGTCTGAAGGCCAAATAATGGCTGGGCTAATGATTTTCAGATTGATTGACATATGGAAACGGAAACTTTTCTATGTTTCCCCATGAGATACTAAGGCTGCAATTTTAGGTGCATTACCTGAGATTAAACTCTAGCTAATTCAATGGAATCTGCTTTTCAATAGGCATGCATGGGATTGCACTCTTATTTCTCAGCAAACTGCAAAGTAAAATGTATTGTGTCTATATCATCTACAGGATTTGATCTCTACATTTTTATTACAAAAATATAGTTGTCATTATAGCCCACTTTCCAGCCTATATAACTCCCCCAGTTCCACATCTAGAACCAAAATAGTGACACTTTGCTGACTTTTATACTACTGTAAATTCACTAAGAGTGTTTGTTCAGTATCTGTCCTGATATCTTTCCTAACTCTCTTCTTCCCAGTGCACACATGGAGCTGAGAAAATTATTATTTAATTTCACCCACCCAGCCCAGTATTTGTGTAGCTTCTTGTAGCTACCTGCTTCTTACCGTACAAGATAATAGGTTTCTCCTCAATGTTAGGTCTTTACCTGTCATGATGATTATGCCAAGCTGTTAACATAATGACACATCAGACCAGGGCTTCTCGGCAAACATGCTCCTTCATATCTCTGCCAAAATTCCTCCTTTCACATCCATATTATTGTTAGCTACTGTATGTCTTCCATGCCGTTGTTTGTTCACCATTGCATCCATCAGTGTAATCAATACTGCTTTAAGACATTGACACTGTTACTTTCCTTGATAGATACCTATGGCACTGTTACTACACAGGAAATACATAGTTACACAATACATTGACATTTGATTGTTGAACCGCATAAGAATTACCATTTTGGAGCATGTGTGTTACACCTGCTTTCAGGATCCTGATTAACACTGAAATATTCATAATAGATAAATATCTAGCTTATAGGAGAAGGGGTCCATATGTTGACTGGGGAGAACGGTAAAGGAACCCCTGACCGTTAGGTCCAGTTGTGCGCTTATCTCACTCTATAGGCCGAGGGAGCCAGCATTTGTCTGCAAACAGCTTCCGGGTCATGTGGCCAGCATGACTAAACCACTTCTGGCGAACCAGAGCAGTGCACGGAAACACCGTTTACCTTCCCACCGGAGCGGTACCTATTTATCTACTTGCCTGGTGTGCTTTTGAACTGCTAGGTGGGCAGGAGCTGGGACCGAACAATGGGAGCTCACCCCATCGTGGGGATTCGAACTGCCAACCTTCTGATCGGCAAACCCTAGGCTCTGTGGTTTAGACCACAGCGCCACCCGCGTCCCTAGACTGGGGAGAAAGGATACATCAAATACAATTTGGTCAAAAGCAGTGCCACCCATCCCTAACTCGGGACAGCCACTCCAGAAGGATATCATGGTCAGTGGTATCAAAAACTGCTGAGAGGTTGAGGAGAATTAACCAGGACCTATTTCCTCTGTCTCTCTCCCAACAGAGGTCCTCATACAGGGCAATCAAAGCAGTTTCTGTGCCAAAACAGAGCCTAAACCCTGATTGAAATGGATCTAGAAAATAAATTTCCATCAAGGGCACCTGGATCTGGTCCACCCACTCAAGATAGTTTATATTTGTGCAGCTTGTTCCAAAGTAAACTAAATAATAATATTTTATTCAACATCTTGGTTTCATATTTGTATAAGGTGTTTCAAGGCTCAGATACAAGACGTATTAAAGCCTACTTTTACTAACCTCAGTAGTCTGCTGAAGTCTCACTGAAAAATCTTGGCTCACTCTTGTAGCTCTGTGAAATAATAAAAGCAAAAGATTTTTGAAGTTAAATTGTTCAGCACATTGTGTATGTCTTTGTGGTATGAGTAGGGTTAGAGTAGGACGATTATAAAAGAGTGATACTGACCTCTTAGGTTTTCATTACCAGGAAGAAGAGCTCTATGCATGTCAAAGGGGCTGCAGACTCTTCTCCATTTGTCAGTTTGTGGATGATGGGATTGATTTGAATCGGACCAAGTTGGAATGTGACTCTGGTAAGATAAGCTAGCCTCTTTTTCAGCTTGTAAGATATGGGTGGTCACCACTTTTCTTCCCACTCAGAGTAGGCTTATTGAACTATATTGGCCAGTAACTTTATTTCAGTCAGTCTACCCGAAGTGTGACTTAGTTGGATATCTCCCTAGGAGAAGAATTAACACCTTGATGTTAATTGATTAACATCAAGAGAGTTCAGCAAGGAGGAAGCTTCCAAAATTATGCCACAAAATAAGTGTCCACATAAGGGCATGAAATCTGATTTATTACAAAGTCAAAAAAGTAAATTTGGCTTAACGTCAACATGTGTCAGCCACAGATACCCTGACATCAGGGAAATCTATAACAAAATATTAAGCCTTAAAGCATGCACCTTGTCACATTTTGTTATCATAAAATATGACATTGCAAGCTTAAAAATAACACGAGAAATTAAAATAAACAAAAGTTTGCAACGTAAGAGAATGTTGTGATATAAAATATAATAATAGTGTTGATGCCTTAAGATTTTTGTAATTGTAGCTTCTCCTTTGAAAGAGAATTTTTCTGAAACAAAGAGGAGTTTTCTGAGATGAAAGAAAGTGTAATTAAGAAGTTTTCAGTCACAAAGTTGCTTGCAGCTGGGATGGGAATCTCTCAGTCCCAAAGCTATTTGCAGCTTTGTTGAGACAGTATGGGTCTTGCTTCTACCGTATGAGATAGATTGAGCCTGTCATGGAAGAGAAAGTTCTGTTTCCGTGCTGAATTGGACTTTAAATGTAAACATGCATGAATAATAATCTTGTAAGCTTTGATTGGAAGTAGATCCTTTGACTTGAGTAGTGCTCACTTCAAGTAAGCGCACATAGCATTGCAGCCCTAATTGGCTTGCTGAGTATATAGTTCTGGGAAGAGTTTGTTTTCCCTCTGCAGTTTCTCTGTATACAATTGTTATTTTCACTCTGCGATGCTATTATTTTGCCTGTCTCCTATCTAAAATGTTGGAACTGGAGCCTTTTAGAAGTTGCATCCTGACAGAGTTGGCAAAACTGAAAGCTAAGCATATAGCTCAGGGGGCATACTGGAAGTGAGTGGGTGTTCTGGTTTTACCCTGCCCTCTTTGGTATTTCTGTCACTTGGGGAGGGTGTGTGGGTGTTTTTACAGATCCTGAATGCTGAAGTGTAGTTCAATTTTGCCTCTCTCTTATCTCACCACTGACATAATTTGATTGGAAAGATGAGCGTCAGGAAGGGAAGTCCAACATTAGTAGCAATATGTGTGGTGTTGCACCCTAATATTCAAGTGTGCTTTAGCTGCTTATGTGGAAGGTGTGACCATTTAAACTGAAAGAATGTGTCTTTTACAGCATGTTCTGAGGCATATACCTCTCAGTCTGATGAACAATATGCCTGCCGTCTTGGATGCCAGAATCAATTACCATATGCTGAACTGAGACGAGACCATGTAAGTATTTATATTAAAGTGAGTGAATACATTTTCACTGCTTGTATTCCCATTCTTCAACTATTTTAAAAGTAAATTGTGGAGAGAGGCTCTGTGACATGCTTGAAATGGTTGCTTTTATATTAATATGTGAATCACCATTTATTTGCAGCTCATGTCCTTAATGCCAAGAATGCATCTTCTATTCCCCCTTACACTTGTGAGATCATTCTGGAGTGATATGATGGAAACAGCCCATAGCTTCATCACCTCCTCATGGACTTTCTACCTTCAAGCTGATGATGGCAAAATAGTAATATTCCAGGTACTTGCTAACCTGTTCTTACCTGTTCTGACATAAGAGTTCAAGGGAACTAAGGGAGGGTGTTTTTGTTATTCTGTTTTAAATCAAATAACTCCATGTTGAATGTCTGGGAGTGTTTTGTTTTATTGAGTTTGCTCTGCTTAAAAATGGTAAAAATATAATGTGTCTATTTAAATTACAGTTTGTGTCATTATGTAGGTAAATATGTTAGGTTTGTTTCACTAATTTGAAGGTTTTGTCATTATTTCAGTCAAAGCCAGAAGTTCAGTTCATTGAAAGTCCTGGTCAGGAAACACAGGATTTAAAAGAACCATCATTTCGCAAAGCATCTTGTAAGTTGTTTTAGGGAACTTCAAGGAATATAATATGGTTTGCCAAACAGTAAGGATGTACTGTCAGTGTCTAACCAGTAATTTGTTTCCATGATTAGATAACTGTGGAAACCAGTAGCTTATTTTTTAAGATGCTTACTGTTTGGAATTTGCTTGATGACACAATCTTTGTCTGATGTTTAAACATGGCAACTGAAACAGTTGCTTCATTGGCTCTGGTTCAGCAAGACACTGCGTATTGCAAATGTAAGAAACAAACCCACAAGATATTTTTTAGCTGTTCGCTTTTTCCTAGGACTTCCTTCCAGTTAAAAAAAGGGGCACTGCTCAGTCTTAACATTTATTTAAAGAGCTTGCTGTGTCTAGCAGGAGGATTTACCGGAAGGAAAAAAGGTTGGGTAGACATTCATAGCGTACAGAGAGATTGGACACTTGAGCATATGTGTCTTGGATTCTGTGATAAAATTAAACAAAAATGTACTATGATTTTCAGTAGATCTGCAGCCAGGAGGTCCACAGACACACAAGGGATTCTTCGACGAAGATGAAAGTGATAACTTCTTCAAATGTGTTTCAATGTATGTACATTTTAGCATATGAAGTAATTGCTTAAGGGAGAGACATGTTTCATTCCCTAATGCTGTATATCACATGTAGTTCAACTACCAAAACAATCATGTGAAATGTTTTCACAAAACATTTTCTTAAAATTAACATTCTGACCATTTGTGCTGTATCTAATTGAATGCTCTCTAAAAACAGGAAATGCCCATAGTGGCACAACTTTTACTACAAACATTGCTGTCATGCTGCTTGCATTGAACATTGTTTCCAAACTCAGACCATTCTTTAATATTACTATGTTAGGTCTATTTATAAGTAAAACAAAGTTCTGAGCAAAGCTGTTGGCTCACATAATATTGAGGGTCAGTTTGAGTATGAAAGGTGCTAAAGTAGTTGTGCTTTTAGGCTTGTGGCAGTGATTGTTAACAGCTTTGGATCTTAAACCAACTTCGAAAGGTCTTAAGTTCTTCTGAACCTAGTAACCGTAGTTCCTGGGTTCAGATGAAATTGAAAACTGGTTAATTGAAAAAGATTTCTGTATTTCATTCAGGCACACCATGAAAGGAAATCACTGTATTTCACAGGCATACTGTCTGTACATATCTCGGCTTATTAAGCTGAGACATGATCATGTGATCATTTTCACTGAAGGTAAATGGTAATGGAGAACAATAACCTCATATTAGATCCTGAAAGCTCAAAGACAGTAGCTTTTGCTTATTTTCTGGGACCAGATTAAGGTACAGTAGTTGACTGTGATGGCATCTAAGTCTGCCTATTTTGGATTGTGTGTGTGTAGAAACAATATTTAGGGGGGATACAATTTTCAGTATACCTCAAGCTTGTCTTTATGGCTCATCTGTTTTCTTATATTCCAGAAATTCTGGCTGGATACTGACAACCACACTTGTCCTTTCTGTACTGGTGTTGCTCTGGATATGTTGTGCAACTGTTACTACTGCTGTGGAGCAATATGTTCCATCTGAGGTAACTTAAGTCCTAATCTTTCCAGCATCCTACCACATTATATTCTGTGATATCAGAATGCTTTGGGTTTGATTAGAGCCCTTTTGTGCAGAAGAGAGTATCTAATGATTCTCTTGTTAATGAAACAGGATTGTGAACATATATATTGATTATATATTGTAAGAGGTCTCACCTGCTTGTAGCTAACCTCCAATGAAATTGCCAATTTAATCAGCTGGTGTGATCACTGGGGCAAATACAGTATGGAATATGTAAACTGGTAGTGACAGTTCATGCTAGCTTTTTCAGGGAAACAAAAGATAACAAGGGTGGTTTCATGGGATGAGTTTTGACATCTCCCAGCAGAAGCAAAGCATGCACGTGATTTTTGCTTAGCAAGATGACATTCTCTAGATTTGGTGGGCATTTCTGTGAGGTTGCAGTACTGAAGCCATTTCAGTTCATAAAAGTTATAGTACAGTTAGGCCAGAATGCAAAAAAAGGGGGAGGCATTTCTGGTAGCAAATACGCCTGAAAATGTTAATGTAAATAAAATACCATTGTAGAAGTCATATTGATAGCCATTCATATATTATACAAAATGCTATGCAGGATTAGATCAAGATCTATCATCGAGTAGTTTTGTGGAGCCATATGCAGCCATTTTAAAAAGTGGTGCTCAGCTAAAGGGCTAATTATGTTTCAGATGTAATGTCCAAAATCTTTATAAAAATTTGAAGTCTTCCATTGCTACTTCCTACTGATGCACAATTTAATTGTGCCTTTTCTGTGCCAGTGTCTGAAAGCCTTGATAATTTCACTCATAAAGACTTGTTTAATATCTTCTACTCCTCACCCTTACCCCCCACCCAACCTTGTGTTTCTAGAGAGTGCATGGTCCTGTTTAACAGTATAATCCTAAGCATGTTTACTTGAATGTAAGTCCCACTGACTTCAGTAGGAGTTATTCTCCAGTAAGTGTGCATAATATTTTAGTCATGATATCCATGCACCAAGATGTACTGGAATAAAACTTAGTGTGAAATGATTTCCATCTAATATCATTTTGTTGTTGTTATTTTAGAAGCTGAGTATCTATGGGGATTTGGAATACATGAATGAACAAAAACTGAATCGATACCCAACTTCTGCTCTCGTTGTGGTTAAATGCAAAGCTGATGAAGAAGAAGCTGGACCTCTACCTACGAAAGTTAACTTGACTCAGTCAGCAATATAGATTTTAAAAATGAATTCATTATCTTATTCTAAGACTTCTGTTAACTTTGGTGACTTTTTCCAATGAAGAGGCTTTTGCAGGGGTAGTCAAAATTCAGATTCAAATAAAGTTACATAATTGATTACTGTTCTACTGTCATGGAATTCAATCTCATTTTCCAACAGTAAAGGAAATTGTGTTGAGCAAATGGGGTTTGTAGAGAATTTACATTTATTTGCATCTTTTTTTTTTTTTTGCTTACCAAAAATCATAAGTATTGTCTATACATTAAGGTTGTGGTATTTTCAAATTATGAACATCTGTTGGTATCAGAGTGCATATTTGGAATCTTGTTTCTAATAGTGTAAGGAATTTTTTGTGGTCAAAGATGCCTTTTAAGTTGTCTTCTCAGCTGTGGATAAATGAAACTAACATGTAGAATTGCTTAGAAATCCTTATTGCTTCAAATGGCTCATTTTCCACAATAAGAGTACATTTTTGTTGACCTTTGTGCCAGTTTCTGGCACTGAAGTACTGTGGGTCAGAAATAAAACTTTAATGTATAGAGGAATCTATTATGGTGTCACTTCTGTATCCTAAAACAAATAAGCTTCCCTGGCTTTCATTTGCTACACTTGTCGGCTCAGAGAAATGGCTAATTTAAACAACAACAACCTTTCCCTAAAAAACAGGCAACATTGGTGGCAGACAAAAATTTCTATGTATATTGGACATTGGTATATTTGACATTGACTTGTTCACAAGAAGTCTCTTGACTCTCACACTCCTTCACACACCAGTTAAAATTGATGAATGCTACTTTCAATTTTAAACTAGCCACACTTCCCTCTTATGCAGATGCCAGCCAAGATCTGAAACCATGGTTTGATCCTGGCTTGTGTTCGCTATACAGAGCTGTTGTTAGGATCTGTTAGTTCAAAATTGAAATAAAAAGTTTTCAATTTCTTCCTCTGGGGCACAAAGCAGGGAAGATACTCACAAGCCCAAGGATGTTGGAACTCATTCTTGGAATAGATAATCATGGTTTCCCACTATGCATAAACCCAGACACAGTTTACACTTAACCCTATCATGGGCCAGCTTTTAAAAACCTACTTAATGAATAAGAATAAATCGTTACATTGAGGCTTGTGACCAAACAAATGTCTAATACAGTTTTATAAATCAGTACTTTCCAGGGGAGTTTGCAAGTTCTAATTTATTCTTAATATAATTCAAAATGTGTTGAATTGGGAATTTTATTTCAGTATTTTTTTACAAGTGCTCTAAAAATCTTTAATGTTTTACATTTTATTTAACCCTTGCTAATTGGTAAAAATGTTCTGAAAAATAATAAGCATCTTTATTCGGTTTACTGAAGTGTCCATGCTTCAAATGACGAACAACAGAAGAGGCAACTATTGTAAACTCTACAGTGAAGTAACAAGCCAATAAAATTGGTATGCCATTCTCTATAAATATCACTATTGACAGCATCTCTGCATAATTATAAAGTTGATGATTCTCTAATACAGTGGTGGTAGAAAATGAGGTTTTCTGTCTAAAAGTTGATCAATGGGAGCCTAATAGAATAACTTGCAAGGCAATCATTAAGCAAGTTATATCACTGTGGTTTCATCTAGTCAATACAAATTCTGAAGTTTAAAACTTGCCCTATTTCTTAAAGCGAGAAACCATGGACACTCCTTTATCAATCTGTGAAATAGTTACTTTCAAGCAACTTTTGCAGCTTAGTTGCTGTTTGTGTTGTATGATAACTTCTGCAATGTCAGTTGTCTTGATTTTTCACTTGCTGGGCTAAAATACTGTTGTATTATGCACCAATTCTTTCAACTACATTTGCTTTAACTTATACATTTGTTTTTCATTTGGATTCTTGTTTTAGGAGATGCCTTTGCAAAATAATCCAGACTATATACAGTAAAGGTTAAATGGACTGAAATGTAGTACCCTTACTTTGAAGGTTCAGTATTGCTGAACTAAGGATTCCATATTGCTATGATGTTACTGGATTCTTCTCTCACTGTGACAACTTGAGCTGAAATCTGTTTAAAGGTCTACAATAAATCAATGGCTAAAAGAACTAGTGCTACTTAATGTACTACTTTTTTTAGGAGGAGAAGTCAGTGGTCCCCTGTTAGCAACTGTGTCAGTCTACCAAACTTCAGTTGTGGTTGGTCTGAAAAGCAACACTGAAAGCTCTCTTCCGGTGATTCAGATCAGCCAGTTGAAAAATACTTGTCCATTAAATATAAAACATTGATCTTGTTTCATGCTTCATTTCACAGAACTGAACTGTTCTGCTCTAGCTTTGGAGATCAGTAAAATCCATTGTGTTCAGTAACAAAGATAATTGATGTCTTAATAGTGCTTAAACATTGTTGTGCCTAATAAGTCTACAAAAGCCTATATTATGAACACGCCTCAAAATTAACGGTGGCTGAACTGAATATTGGGCCACCCGATCAGTTTTGCCTTGCTACCGGTAATTTTTTCCAAAAATATCCATTTATTTTCTGGACCATTTTCAAGCTTGGCTCCTAGCTCCTTATCTTAGGTAGACTTGATGGTGAAACTTAAGGAGCTTTGTGTATTTACTGAAAGGGGGGAGTTGGCCAAGGCAAGGTTCCTTGGCAGAATTGATTGACATGCCTTACATTAGAGATGGAAATATGTGGCATTTCAGGATTTATTGGGGCTACATCTTCCCATTAGCTTTGACCACTGGTCATGGTGGCTGGGACTAATGGAAGCTGATCTCTAGCAACAGCCCCAGCCCCTCCCACCCTTGACTTAGGTCAGTTCTAAACTCTGCATTTTTCTGGAACCCCAAATGTTGTGGTAATGAGACTTAATTCTAGCTCCAGAATGAGCTCTACAGCAGGGGAGGACAATATTTTTGGCTTGTGGGCCACATTCCCCTCTGGGCAAAAGTCAGAGGGCTGCCTGCCAGAGGTGGGTGGTACCAGAAGCAAAAGTGGCTGGAGCAACAAATGTACAGTACAGATATTCAGTTTCTATACACATTTACACCCTTTTCCATGCAAGCAAGAGGCATCGGAGTCTACAGGCACATTCCAACTGGGCAAAAATACTGTATTTATGGTATGAAGCAGGGCTAATGGGGGGTGTTGCCTGAGGAGAGGGGCTGTGGCCTGGGCAAAGTTCTGAGGGCCAGACATAAGCTGGAAGGGGGTTGCATTTGGCCCCACCTCTGCTCTACAGGTTCCTGCAAGGGCCTTATTGAACCCCAGTGGTTTGTTTCCTTCGAATAGCTGAGCTTTAACGTATTGGAAGGTTCTTCCTCAAAATCTGCAGTCCACTGCATCAAAAGATCAGTGCTTTATAAGCTGTGATCATAAAACAAAGTTCAGTCATTAGTACAGACATATTTTTGTTCGTTCAGTAGGGTTTGATCCTTTCCGCACTTCCATCTAAACATCGTAACTTGTCAATTGAAAGAAAAGAAAGAAAAGTTGCTTTATAAATTAAAAACCCCCACATTTAATTATTGTGAGAGTGTATTTAAAGAAGGAAATAAGCTATAACCATGAAACAACTTGTGTAAACAGAAGATGTACAGTTATAATCTACTTTGCGATATCAGCTAAAATGGAACACTTCCTAAACCAAGTTAGTAGAGAAGAAACCAAAGGGTTGGCACCTGTATCAAAATACTTTAAAATTAAGAACATGAAACTAGCAATTTAGTCCCTAAAGCTTTGAAAGGGCATCATTCTTGCCTGTAGTGTATTTCCAGTGTTACTCAGTGCTACATGTGTGTGACGTTTAGTAATATGCCCAGTAGGGGCTGAGACATGTTTTATTATTTGTGGCACTAGCCAGAGGAAAAGCTAATGGGGATTCTTGAGTTTATGCTTACTCTGTTTCATAGGTATGAATGGGATTAGAATGACTTTCTACTTCCTACCTCTGTTTCTCTTAGTAGCCAGGTAACGTTACCCCAGGAATGTATTTAGTGGCTTGGTGAGCTAATAAAGCAAGGCAGCTTGAAAGAGGCTAGTTCCTCCTTTCATACCTAAGCAACACAGTTTGAAGTGAACATTGATGGAAACATTGCCAGAACAACTCTGCCTATTAATTAGCATAATCCTGCAGCAGTCAGGGGGGAAATGAACAGAATTCATCCTCAGGTAATAGCATCCATTCTATGGCGGAGGGGGGGATGTAAATTATTACTTTTAATACAATTAATTGATCAGCTAGCTCTTATTGCTATTAGAAAGTAGACATGCTGGAAACTTCTGTGTCTCTATTTTACCAATAGGAAACTGGAATCAAAACTCAAAATTATAGTTTTAATTAAATCTCTGTATGTTAGTTACATGTTTTTGAATGTATGGAGATAGGGATTCTATCTGAATACTGAATGTACCGTAATTACAGACAATGTAATGCCTTGTGTTTCCTTAAAAACAATCTTCTCCCTAACAATGAAGGCAATATAATTTTATTTTATTTCTGTTAATTACAGAATATTGAAGGAGCTTCATTTGGTTCAACAAAATCTCTCTTTACTGCTAACAGAGGTAATTGGTACTCTTACTAACAAAAAGCAGTTCGAAAATGCTGGGAACTGATTAGTTTATGAACTAAAGTTGTCCTTTCAAAAAGAGGAAATCTCTGCTTATATACCGTACTTCTTGGCTCATATACTTCTTGACAATTGATGTTTCTATAGCTTACAGTATTTGAAATTTGTTTCATTTTCAGTAGTATATAATTTGGCTACAAAATGAAAAATGCATTTAGTTCATTCAAATGCAGTATAGGCAGTGGTCTGTTGTTAGAAAACATACAAGTATAACTCATCAGGTATGTCTTCATAACAATAAGAAGAGTCTTCTTAATTGTTGGTATAGTTTTATTACATTTTATTGGCATTATACCCCAGTTTGGAATTAAATTATAATGAACAGTGGGTAACAAAGCTTTGAGGGAAGACATTGCAATGCTTCAAGGCAGTTGCAGCTAATTCTTAAGTACCTTGTAAAAGGAAGGCAGTTAATCACCTAAAGGCAGGTTATGAGCACTGGGAGTGAGATTACACAATACATTAGTCAGCTAATTTTTACTATTTATACCCCGCACATCTTGCTGGATTGCCCCAATCACTCTGGGCAACTTCCAACATATATAAAAACATAACGTCCCTGGAAAATAGGGACACTTGGAGGGTCTGGTAGAGCACATGCTTTGTCCCAGATTCAATCTTTTTGACATCTCAAATTAAGAAGACACTTTGGTGAGCCATTGCCAGTCAGAGTAGAGAACACTGGACCAAATAAATAAATGGTCTGACAGCAGCTTCGTATGTTCATAAAGTGCTACCACGTAATTTAGCTTTGAACAGGGATAGGAAACCTTAGGCCCAGATACCAAATGTGACCATCAAGTACTCTGTCTGGCCCATAGCTGTCAACTTTTCCCTTTACTTGCAAGGAATCCTTTTCGGAATAAGGGAATTTCCCTTTAAAAAAGGAAAATATTGACAGCTATGGTCTGGCCCTCAAGACTCTCCTTAGGCTACACTGTCCCTCCTCTGCACTCTCCTCTGGTGTCTTTCCTTCCTTCCTTCCTTCCTTCCTTCCTTTTTCTTTCTTTCTTTCTTCCTTCCTTCCTTTCTTTCTTTCCTGGAGGATGGGCAGGTGTGGGTGTGTGAAGCCTCTGACTTTGCTTACCTAGAAAGTAACTGCCTATACAAAGGTAAGCATTGTATCTGTTGCTCCACCTGCCTTTTCCTCTGGCCCTGCCCACCAGTGGCATGCGACCCCCACCCCAGAAGGGAACGCAACCCTCAGACCGGAAAAAAGTACTAGAACCAGAGGTGGAGCTAGCTGCTCCAGCTCCCAGAGCGGCGTGCACACAGGGGCAGGGCTAGCTGCCCACAGAGGCGGGGCGAGCATCCCAGGGGTGTGGGGCGTGTGCACCAGCCGCCACAAGCCTCCTGGAGGGTGTACCAGTTGGCATGAGTCTCCTGGGGGGCGTCACAAGCCTCCTGGGGGGGGTGCAGCCTGCGGCGAGCATTGGTGGTGGGGCAGCGATGTCAACCCCCCTCAGGGATGGCACCCAGGGCAGACCGCACCCAACTTTCTTCATCTCTGCCTAGAACATACATTGGCTCTTGACAAGCAAGAAGATGAGCTTTGCAGAAGGTCACCTGCTTGCACTTAAGGCAACAGGAAGCCTCTTGATTATTGTGCAGAAACATATTTTTAGATATGTGAAGAAATGCAAATATTAGGACATGACCTACGTGTTACCAGCATTATTTTTTAGCATAAATGGGACAGGTGTGTGCTTTAAGTGTGGTACGAGTTGAAACCTTTGGGTATAAAGTCTTGTACAGTTATGTTCTATATAACATTACGGTAGAATTAAAAACCCATGGGATAATTTCAATATGGGTTAATTAGTAGGGAGTAGAGGAAGCCCTATGGGACGCGGGTGGCGCTGTGGGTAAAAGCCTCAGCGCCTAGGGCTTGCTGATCGAAAGGTCGGCGGTTCGAATCCCCGCGGCGGGGTGCGCTCCCGTTGCTCGGTCCCAGCGCCTGCCAACCTAGCAGTTCAAAAGCACCCCCGGGTGCAAGTAGATAAATAGGGACCGCTTAGTGTCGGGAAGGTAAACGGCGTTTCAATGGCTCGCCAGATGCAGCTTGTCACGCTGGCCACGTGACCCGGAAGTGTCTTCGGACAGTGCTGGCCCCTGGCCTCTTAAGTGAGATGGGCGCACAACCCTAGAGTCTGTCAAGACTGGCCATACGGGCAGGGGTACGTTTACCTTTACCTTTTAGAGGAAGCCCATGTCCTCAGTGTGGATTTTCGTACAAATTCAGTGTGAGGTAATATTTGGAATTGGTCTTTAAGTCTTCTCTCTGTGACAGGTACTATACAGGGCCTGCAAGGTTGCTGCAAGGATTGCTGTGCATGCATCCCTTGCACTCAACAATGTATCTGTGTGTCGGCCATTGGTCTTGGTATACTTGGTGTCATCGCTACTGTCATTGCATTGGTGGTCACAATTGGCATCCCTCCACATACACCAGGTCAGTCATTTCTAGCTTTCGTTATTATGATGGTGACCAAACTACTGCCAACTGGAGTAATACTTTCAATGGGGCTGTGTCCAGTGTTTCTTCTACTCAGAGTAGACCCATTGGAAATAATGGGCAAGACTAAGGCAACACGTGCACAATACCACCTTAAACAGTCATGGCTTTGTTGGGAATCTGTGGTGAGGCAGAAGACACAATCCATTCAGAAATTCTCACATTCAAACTCTATTGCAATCAACATGAACAATGCAAAAGCTTCCATGTATTTGCAAACTCATTAATGGCCATTATTTATGTGTGATGCATCCCAACATGGCTATAGGTCAAAACTGAATTATTTGAATGTGTATTGGGGGTTGGGGTCTGATTAGGTCTGATCATTTCTTTGTCAGTATCCTCCATTTTTGTCCATCCTCCATTGTTTCATCTCAACTTTATTTTTCAGTAAATCGTTTATGTGTGACCTCCGGTAATCAGACAGGCTTTTTATGTGACAACAGAGCTAGCTGCATTCCAGCCAGCCAGGTCTGTGATGCAAGACAAAATTGTGCAAATGGGGAGGATGAGCAAGGATCACTATGCGGTAAGAATATTTGCGTAAATTTCCCCCTTACCATGTCCAGTTAATGCCACATGCTTTTTCCCACCATACCTCAGCCATTTTATAAAGCTTCAAGCTATAGCAAGTTAGGTGGTGAGGAAAACAGAAGCAGACTGAGGATGAGATCACACATACATGTTCTGCAATCAGTTAATAAAGCATCTAGTGATTATTTCCATGTGTGAATAGGCAAGAGAACAGAACAACAGCATCAGGATTCAGGACCGACTCCTCTTCAAGGGGACTGATGCAGCCTGAATTGAAGTTGTAGGTTGAAGACAAGTTGTGAACTCTGCCAGGAGTTCTCACATATCAATGAAAATATACCTGCAGCCCAGTCATAGAAGACTATTTCAGTTTCTACTTTAATACTTTAAATACTACTTTAATAAATCCTCAAAATGTGATTTGATTTTGATTATTTAATTTATATGTTGTTGTTGCTGGCATCCGTCTGTCTTGAGAGACACTGGAGTGCGCCTCTGGGGGTTAAGTCAAACCACTGTGTTAGCAGCACTGAAGTGGCCTCAAAATATCTCTCAGCAGTGTAAAAAATACCTGAAGCAACAATGGATAACTTAAACAAGTTACAAATAAAAAGTTACATTAACACAAAATTGCATATATATATATCTCAATTCATTTTCCTTCTGACACACCCTTCCTCTCAGCCTCTGAATTCTCACCCAGGGCCCAAACAAACTTTCAGCTCAAGCTGAAAAGTCTCAAAACAATAAGAGTACTAGAAACACCAGACATCACCCTAGTCTCTTACTCTAGACTTGTTTTTGTTTTGGAGGAGCAGGCCCAAGGTTGCCCACAGCTGTGTCCTATTCAACTGCACTCTCCATACTCAGTTGCAGGTACAGCAGGTTTGTTGAGTTTCCCAGAGGGTCCAGTGGATGTGAAAAGGGCCCCCCTGCACACACAGCTCCTTCTTCATCCTCTGTCCTCTCCTCCTCCTCCAGCTGCTATTTGGTAGTCTGTATATTTAAGCAAAGCCTTTAACAACATCCTTTATTATTGTTTTTTAAAGTCCTTTTAAAGAAAGAGATGGTAACTAAATAAATGTAGTTGCTTCAACAGAAATAGTGTGAATATTGCCTTAGTAATTGAACTTCTGAATGACTTTCATTTTCCACCTGCAAAGTAAGGAGAGGGATGTTCTCTTCACATACCATGTTTCTGGAATGTACTTAAACCCCACCCCCACCCCCCAAATATGCTGTTTTACTTTGAGGATCTATGCAGCTTACGATGCAAACTTGTACTTGTCTGTTCAGAAGTAAGCCCCATTGAGTTCAGTGAGAGTATCAAGATTGCCTTAGTTGTATTGTTATTTATTACTAATTACCACATTTTAAGCCACTGCTGTTTTTACCCAGTATATATTTTGCGCAGTACAACATTTTCTCCCCTCACCGCTTCTGCTTCTTTCTTTATTTTTTTGTAGATGATTTGCCCAACAACCTTCCAGGATACTTGATATTTTATTGCAGCAACCGCAAGGTTTGGGTCTATGCAGACAAAAGATGTAATGGAATCAATGACTGTGGTGACTGTTCTGATGAAGTAGGAGCTTGTAAGTCTTTTCTTACAAAGTTCTGCTTGTAGTTAATGGATAAATGGGAGCAGTGCCCAGGCAAGGCAAGGATTGCACCCCATAACCTCCTTGTGGGTGTTGCACATGAGGCAACACAGCAGGCACACTTCACTGAGCCTCTGCTGCAACAGCTCCTCATGGAGGTTACCTGTGGGTTGCCGCATTTGCCCTCTCAGCTTGTCAAACTCCTGGCGTGAGTGGTGGCTTGTGCTCCTTGGTGGGCTTGGTGGCGTCCCTGCAGCGCCAGAGCCAAGTTGGCTGCACTTCTCTCCGTGACTTCTCTCCCAAGGACACATGGGAGGAAGGCCTGAGGGAAGGACCGGTGCTGGCCGGGAAAAGTCCAGGCTCCGGCTGGTGGGATTTCCGTCCTGAGGCAGATGTCTCTTCACTGGCCATTTTGTGTGTGTTTTTAATACCCTGTTGGAAGCCGCCCAGAGTGGCTGGAGAGGCCCAGCCAGATGGGAGGTGTATAAGTAATAAATTAGGAGGAGGAGGAGGTGGTGCCACAGCCCTGAAGGCCTGGCCTGGGCACAACTCGCTTCCCCACAACTCCGTAAGGCAGTAGCCATGAGGCCTTGGCACGAGAGCCTGTCATGGGCGTGCTAGGTTGCACCCCCTCAGAATTCTGTGCCCAAGGCCATGACCCTCCTCAGCTCCCCAACGCTGTACCACTTTGTGTGAAATATGCTGGATTGTAAATCTACCAGGATATCCTCTTTTGCATAGTGTCATTCTCTAGTTTAGGGACATGGGATTTTGCACTAGTTCCCAACATCCCTGACCACTGTGGCCATGCTGGCTGGGGCTGATGGGAGCTGGAGCCCAGCATCTGGACCCCATCTCTGCTGAGTACATCTGTTATGCTTCTTTTTTATTCCAGGGGCCAGCTGCCCTCCTTGTGGGCCTCAATGGTGGGGATGCACCATGGCTGTCTTCCATATGTACTGTAGCTGCATTCCCAGACGTCTTTGCCGAGATCGAATACAGCACTGCAGTGACTGGTCTGATGAATACGTCTGCACAAGATGAGCACTCCAGGACTGTAACCTTCAGAAAATAATGGGAGCTATCCATCAAATACCGCTGTTGGGGAATTGCCATACGTATTTCTCAGAGGGGCTTGCGACGGATGCATTGTGTAGTGTTAGATGTGCTGCTCCTAGACCAGTGATCTTTCACCTTTTGAGCTCAGTAAAGTGTGTCTGCGTGTGTGTATAACACCCTTGGCTTCCTCAAAACCCACTGCTACAAAAAGCGAAAGGAGGAAAAGAACGCCTGCTACCAGAAAATCTGGCTCAGACTTCCACACGTACTGGAAGCTGTGAAATCTTGCTTTGTAACAGGGTAAAGGACCAGGGACTCAGCTATACAGCTGCAAATAAAATGTTTTAAGTGTGTTTTAAGTGCAATATACACTAGAGGGCAATGGTGAGCCTTATGGAAAATTCAATGTATTTTTTAAAATGCTTAAAAAAAAAAAAGGTTTCCAGAACGTTTTTTATATGTGTGTAGAACTCAGTTCAGGCAGAATCCTTCTCACAATTGCGGACTGATCAATGCCAGCTATTGCACAAGCACTTATAGTGATGGAAACTAATTGGTATCTTATTCCTAGATGACATTTAAGAAGTCAGTGATTACCTGCCATGTGAACTCTCTATTTCCCCCCTCTCCTTTTCTCTGTTATTTTCCCTTAGCTATGGGCATTTGGGTGTTGGATGAGTAAAAGATCATTGATTTCAAACCATGCTGCTGTATTTGATACATTGCACTTCAGTCTACAATATTATTGTATCTCAAAGCCCTCACCCTTTTATACCTCTAACATGCCTGGTGTGACCTGCACCTATTAGAGTGGAATGAACCCTTAAAAGTGAGAGCATTAGCTGTCAGTCATAACTAGGATAAAGTGGCCTCAGAATAGTCTTCTGAGGAAGAGGTTTGTGTGACTTTCATACTCTTATGTAGAAGTAGACATCATCTTATATAATGAAACGGGTACTACAAACAGACCTTTAAGTCAATATTCGTATCTGATAATCCAATTTCTACCAACATATACCATCAGACTAAAACAAATGACTCTTATTTCCTATTGTGACAAGTCATGCAATATAGATGGTGCAATAAACAAACATTTACAAGTTGTTAGTTGCCCAACTAAATCTTATTCGCTTCACAGCACATCATTTTAAATGGTAAGTGTTTAAACACTAATGGCAGATGAATGGGGTTAGGAGTCATGCTTATCTGTTTTTTGTTTGACAGTCACTTTAATTTACATATTGTATTAAATATGTTACTGCTTGAGTAAATAAAACTTGATTTTAGTATGTTTTATTACACTGTGCTAGCATGTGTTCCTTGGCAAAATTTGAAAACTCAGTCTCAGCTTGAAAGGAAACACAAAAATCCACAGCAATTAAGTGGAACAGTACCATGTAACAACACAGTAGGATACAAAAGTACCACGTGTTTGCTCTCATTTAATTCATCTAGGGATCTATATAGTATAGTAAAGGTAAAGGGACCCCTGACCATTAGGTCCAATCGTGACCGACTCTGGGGTTGCGGCGCTCATCTCACTTTATTGGCCGAGGGAGCCGGTGTACAGCTTCCGGGTCATGTGGCCAGCATGACTAAGTCACTTCTGGCGAACCAGAGCAGCGCACGGAAACGCCGTTTACCTTCCCGCCAGAGTGGTACCTATTTATCTACTTGCACTTTGAAGTGCTTTCGAACTGTTAGGTTGGCAGGAGCTGGGACCGAGCAACAGGAGCTCACCCCGTCACGGGGATTCGAACCGCCAACCTTCTGATCAGCAAGTCCTAGGCTCTGTGGTTTAACCCACAGCGCCACCCATGTCCCTATATAGTATAGTACAGTATTCCAAATTTACTTCCTTCAGATCTACAAGCCAACAGAAACAAGTCAGGCTCAAATCCCCACCGTGGCTGATCTTGAGCTAACTACTTACAGATTAACCTACTTCACAGGGTTGATAAAATATCAGCCTGGGATTGCAGGGGGAAAGTCTGGATATAACTTTGATAATTTCTTTAACATGATTAGGTCCCCAAGTCAGGGCTTCTCAAACTTCCTCTTTAGCAGGGCCCACCTAAGGGCTGAAAATTGCTGAGGCCCACTACTCACAATATAGGGGCAGAGCCAGCCACAAAATGATGGCAGATTGATGCAGAGTTTCGCAGAATCAGTTGGCAAGCAGGGCTATCTGACCCTTCCTTGGAAATTGCTTCTCTTGTTCAGTCCCTTTTGCCTTGTTTCTGTATTTTCTCAACTTTCCCTCACACACTGCTGACTACTCTGTTCATTTCTTCCCTTTAATCCACTCCAAATTAGCATGCAGTAGGCTCATGTTCTGACTCCTATACCTATGTGTGCCTATGAAATGGACATTCAGAGATCCTGCTGGTCCAGCCAAAAGGCTACAGCACACCTAGATGAACATAGGCTATGGCAACTGAGGCCTACAGCTTGGAGAGAGAGAAAAGCACCCACTTTGTAAATCAGACGTAACCTATGATTAGTCAAGCCGCATGGTATTACCGTATTTTGAAATTCTTTATGCCGGAAAATGTGAGCGTTTTGTGTACCTTTGGTGTTCACTAGTTAAAACCACTGAAACATGTTTAAGCATGACAACTAATACCCAGTTTGTTTATAATGTACAAGAGTCAACAGTGGTTTGGGTGTGCTCTGAACAATCAAAATCAGTTCAAACAGATATTCCACTTCAAAAAGGATAAAATATTTAAAACATATTGTGGATGTATTTATACTACCGGCTTTTATTGTTTAATTCCTTGACTCCTATGTTTATTTTGTTAAATCCTATTATCTGTGGTTAAGTCTCACACTGTTCCTTTGACTACGGCACACAAAATACAAGCACAAACACATAGCAATGACTTGCTTGTAAGAGAGAAAAAGTCACTCAAGATCAGTCACCACTAAGAGGCTCATATCTAACACCACCTCAAGCAGTTTCTCAAACCTTAGGGTTTATAGCTAAACATGTGTTGTCCTTTTGTAAATGAGCCCTTTGGAAATGAAACAGTGGAGGGTGCTCACCAAAATTTAATCTATCCCACATTAGGCATTAGTTGAAAGGTCATCAGTTGTTTTCTCTGATTAATTCAGAACCGGAACAAGTCATTGCTTTTTTTGAGGCCACTGTGTTTTGATGGAAAGCAGAAAATTCAGCTGTGCCATTTTTTTCTTTTAAAAGTGTTTATTTGCATGCAACTCATACTCAGTAAGAATTTAGTAAGTCCCAGTCTGCCACTGAAAAGCTCAGCTGCTTTGATTTAAAATGCTGTTCTTTGTGCTCAGCTGAAGCTCTCTTTTTCTTCTTCTGTAATTCTTCACTCTTCCCTATTAGTACAGGCAAATTTAACATTTCTGCTCTGGGCCTGTAGAATTGCAGGTTCTCAGAAGTCTCTATTTCAAGAGGTTCTTCTGTCCTGGCTCTTTTTCCATCTGCAAGACAAATTTTATGAAGTAACTTCACATAATTTTGAATATAGCTTAATTCTGCACTGTTCAGTTTGGGTCAGTTGCACTAACAGAAGAGTTAACCTAGAGGCAGTTTCCAAATACAGTCGTATCTTGGAAGTCGAACGGAATCCGTTCTGGAAGTCCATTCGACTTCCAAAACATTCAGAAACCAAAGCGCTGCTTCCAAAAATAGTTTGTAAACTGGAACAGTCACTTCTGGGTTTGCGGCATTCAGGAGCCAAAATGTTTGAGAACTAAGCTTTTCGAAAACCAAGGTATGACTGTAGTCAAAATATTTTAAGGGTTCAAAGTTTCTCAAGAATTGCTATTGTGACCTCTCTTATCATTTTAAAATAGAACATAAATGGGGTGATGGCGGAGGTTACCTGCAGCTTCTATGCAAAGGAACACATTTGCAGAAGCAACATTACAGAGAATTCTGAATATAGCTGCATGTTACTTGCATCTCAAAATCTAGACCTTTATACTTAAATGATCTAGTATTACATGTTACAAATTGAATGATATTTTCAGCTGTCTTTTTAATTCTCTCCTAACCTATTTCTAATTAATTGCTAAGGTCTAAGTGCTTTGCTCTGACCACAGAGAAGCATGGCGATAATGCTACTTTCTTTGTCTGCAGCTCTAAGCTCCTACGGTCAAAGACACAAGCCACTGCTCACGTTTCAAAACCAGCTTGCTTCTTCAGTTCTTGGAGCTACTATGAGGGGTCAGGGGTGACTCTGTGGAAAGCTCCGCTCGCATTTGCTGTTTTCCAGCGGTGCTTAAATCACCTTTAGCCTCAGTTTACAAAAATGCACTCTAGCTCTAATCCGAGTTTAGAAATTTGTATCTTCATGCAAGTTGCTTACAGAAAAGCTGAGCTGCAGTTCGAGATTTCAGGCTTTCTTGTGGTTTAATTGCTTCTTGCACTGCATGCTCCCATTGCAAGATGGTCTGAGAAAAGTAGAATTGCAAAAAAGTTTCAGTAGGCACTTATTCAAGCTAATAGGTCACCACTATAACTTGACATTCAGTGTGAATATGAGTTTACAGTTTTTCAAGTGTTGTTTGTTAATGTATGGCAGTTCCCCTGTGATTCAACAGTATTCATCCCAGTGCTGAGTGATATACAGTTGACTGAGCCATATGGAGTTTGCATAACAACTCACACAGTCTTAAAAGGAAAACTAGACTTCTGTTAAAAAGCATATACAAGCCTTAATCTACTAATGGAGTATTAATGAGAGGAAGGCAGATAGGGAGATAGAGAGGTAATTCTCTAGGTTCTGAGTCATTTAGGCAATCCTCCCTTTTAACCACACAGGAAAATCACTTTTTACCACATAGGAAGATGCTTGCTATATGAAGTCTAGAAATAGTTCAAGAAGGTACATTAAGACATACCTGCTCTGCCCATCCCTCTGTTTTGCAGCTATTATGATCAAATTCTTTCAAGGGCACCTCTGAATGAACAAGACCTATTTGTGTCTGGATCCAACAAACAACAGCATTTGTGTCCTAGGTAAAAAGAAAAACCAAAACAAATCCCCTTAAAGAAATAATTGTCAACCAAAGTCTGACTTTATAGAAAGACAAAATTTTGAATTTTCTTTGAAACTGCGGTAA